GGGGGGGGGGGGGGGGGGGTAGAGGAAAATCATGAAGTTAAATCTTCAATTCTTACAAGAATTGTTTTCATAGCTTCTATTTTCCCGTTGACAAGAAGTGATTACTATAATGTCGTAGTGGTAAAAGTTGAGCATTGTTTAAACGGCTGGCGCTCCTTCCACATATCGTCTAAGAGCTTAACAAAATGGATAAACCTGTTTTGTTTCCAATGTCATTAAAGATTTAATCGATAAATTTCATTTAGAACAGAAACTGAAAAACAAGAATTCTCTGTTGCTCCGATTTCAACGGTTGATAGGGAGAAATGCATTCAAGTTTTTATCCCAGTGAATTCTCTGGTTAGCGTAAAGCGTCTTAAGGAGAAATATGAGCAATTTACGAAAGTGGAAGTAGTTCCACAGGATCCCAAATCAGGCATTAAATACATTGTGTATGTGCAGGTGCATCAATCTGCTTTGGTTGCTTGTGCGGCTCAGGAAGAAAAGGTGGTGCCTAAAATGGAACCGATTCCTCCTCATTCCATAGTGTAAGTATAATTTATTATAATTTTGCGGATTCGAATCTTGTCGGAAGGAATTATACTCAAAATTTACAAATAGATAAAAAAGGCGACCATATGAAGGTGATCCGAAAGAGCATTTCTGTCAAGTGGGTGGGCGGTAAAAAAATTGGCCTTTCGAATTAATAAGTGGGATGATACATTTTGAAATTCTCAACAATGCCTCCAAAGCGTTTTCCTCTTTAGCCAAGCTGGGGGCTACTAATGTCAATGTCCAATAATCATGCACAAAACACCTCTTTATTATTTTTAAATAAAAATTAATTATCTAATTATGGATCAAAATATTTTAGTCGAATTTCAAAACTGCATTAAGCTTCTGATTATGACGTAATCAGGTGGACTTATAGACGGACAATAATATCGTCTCTTAATTGTAACGTACTTATTTGTTCGAAACTTGTATGAATTTGCGATGGGCATAAAATCATTGGTAAAATTAATTAAAATGCACCGATTATCTTAGATTCACTGATATTGTGCATTGTGAGTACCGTAGATGGTGTAGGCTCAGTTCTAACAGAAATCATGGTGCAGGCGTCTACACAGCAGGGACCCTGTAGGCACGTTTGACTACTTAAGGATTTATATATATTTGGAGTCACAAGTCCCTTCTGGATCATTCATCTCTTAAATAAATGATAACGAGACTTTTAGAGCGTGTTTTTGTAACTACAATGACTTTTAATTGGATAATAAATATCTAGCCTATGATGCTGGAGATTTTAATATCGTAAATGCGAAGTGATAGTTAAGATCCAAACTAAGAACTTGAAATATATAGTTTGAGCCAATCCTTCTTTTTGGTGTGTTTACATTTTATATCATGATGTGTATATTAATGAATTGAAGGCCATTCAAAGCTCTAACCATGGGACATTGTTAGGATTTTACAAGTCAGGGTGATGAAAAAAGGATATATCTGAGGAAATTTAACCTCAAATAACAGTTGACCCGATAACTCTCATTGATGGATGAAATAGCCTCCTCAAGAGTTCCGAACTTCAACTTCTATTGAAATTTTACAATCTTCTTGAAAACTGGAATCAAAATTGACTGACAAATTGGGAGCAGAGGACAAGGGACGGGAGGAATGCAATGAATGGGGCGAATCGGAATGTTGAATATGGGAGGGGTGGGAGAATGGGGTCACATAGATTCTAGGTCTTGTAACAATAGTTTATTGTGAACAGATTATATTTAATAGTATCTATGTTTCTTCATTAGCGGAGTGATAATCCCAAGGATTATATCGACTCGCGTTGCTGGGCCCGAACCTCCACCCCAGCAGCCTTCAGCTCCACCAATAAGGCGAAGTATTCCACTAACCCAGGGAGGTAAAACAGGGCAGATATCTGCTACAGTACAGCCTGGTGAACGGTAAGAAAAATTCACCAGATACTTAAATCGACTGAGCAAATAGATCCGACTGCTAAATGATGTTTTCCAACCACATTCAAGCTCATATATTTGTTGCTAAATTTCCATTCTTATATTTATCGAATTTTTGTTATTATCTTTTAGAACCATTTGGCAGGATCCAGCTGTGATCGGTGTGTCAGACCCTACGCTGTACGTTTGAAGAAAGAGATCGTAATCTTTCACTTGCAAAACAACTGATTTTCATTTTAAACGCTAAACTATTATTTTAAAAGGTAGCCCACGGCGCGAGGTAGTTCATTTTGCTTTTTCATTAGCCGTGAAGTAATTAGCATACATCTCATCTCTAAAGGCGGAGATAACAAGATCGGCACACATCCACTGATGTGGATGGCCAACTGCATTGGGTGGTTCTTGAGAGTGAGCCATGCAATTTTGTTTCATAAGGGTAGTCCGCATAACTTTTCATTTTCTAAGTCGACTATCACTAATATTTTCGCTAGATTGCTTGCTCATTATTTGCTTCTATCCGACCTAGTCTATTAATAAGTGCTTTATCCAAAAGCAACTATTTTCGTCCTCGCCTTATCATTATTCCATCGTTTACCTCGCAATCTGTCAGTCTCATCTTTTAAATGAATGAGTTCTAGATGATCTTGAATCTCAAATTGATTGCAGGAGATTAAAAATAGTTTGAATTTGTGTTTGAAAACCCCGTAATTGATGTTTTCAAGTCCGTTAAAACAAATAACTCCGCCTTCTTTGTTCACCAATTATTTGAAAAAAACACACAGGAAAGATGCCACCATCAGGTTGTTCTTTGTCTTCTCGTCGTACTTTATTCGAAAGATTTCAAAGATACAGCAAATTATCGCACCAAATTTTCTTCTTTCTTCCTGTTGAACGAATTTCCTAATCGAAAATATGCTCCCCTATTTTCCTTAAATGATAGTCTGCCTGTGACAGTATTTAATCTAATTATTAAGTGGTACTAGATTAATTCATAATTCTCTGACTATCGCTCAGAGTCCTCAGTTAAAAAGGTCACGCGTAGTTATTAACCCAGCGTGGAATTACTTTCTACAATTAGAATTGGCCAATTGAACCAATCATTTCTGGCTGTATTGCCTCCCATATCCGACGAGGTGGGGGGAGGGGGGGGGGATAATGGGTTGCTGAATGACTACCCAACCGTTGTACAGTGACTATTATCCGTCAATGCCATAATTTGTCATGACGGTGGCATTAAAGTAGATTATTGATGACGCACATTAGTACTTCACTTGCAATGGACAGCCAAGCATTATTTCATCGTTCTTTCCAAAAAATCGAAATTTCTCATTCTGTTTTAAGTTCGCTGAAGCAAACATTGCCTAACTCACTCCAATCACAAATTTTGAATTTCACTACCTTATAAATAATTGAAATTAAAAATAACATCATCCAATGGCAAGCAGTAGGTGGATGACTAGTTGTTAGAATCTAGAGGAGAATGTCCCATTCATACACTGAGTAAAACAGAAAAGCAACGTGTTATCATTGGCTTTGTTAACAGGTTTTATCTATTCAATTTTAATAATTGGCATCTCAAACTCAAACTATGGACCCTTTATATTAAACTCAATTCCTTTCAGCACCTTTCTCGTTGTTTCAAATTGTAGGCTTTTGAAAATATAAATCGCCATCTGCATTCGCCATATTTGAATTATTCATATTTGGTGAAAATTTTGGCAAAATGTCCGTTTATTTTCAATGAGCTTCTTTATTAATGACCACCTTTGTAGAGGTTTCCGTTAACCTAAGAGAAGGTTCTATTGTATTTCTAATTCAAATGGCCTATTTCAGCGGCCAATCATGAACCCGAGACAATTTCGTTTTTGTTATTCACACAAAATGACGCAACGATGAAGTGCTTTTGAGCTCAACGATGTAAAATGCACACCAGAGAAATATGTTTTTTCTTTTGCCAGATTGGAATTTTGTTTGCAGGAACTTTAGTTAACTTTTATACTTTCCTTCTCTCTTTTAGGGGAAACGCTCCTCAAAATTCTCATACTCTACAGTAAGTAGGCCTGAGAACCATGATAGAATTTAACCCGAACAAATTTAAACTTTTTCGCTTTGCTTCCATAACCACAGTGCATGGCCTCTGAAGTTCAAAATTTGGTTGGTTCACAGAACTAAACTTTATAGTCTATGGTGAAAGGAAATTAAACCTGCTTAATGAGCACATTGATGTGTGGTTTGATGGAAGGTAGTGTATTTCGTCCATAGGATTCAACCATTTAGTGGTCATGGGCTCAATGGTCATTGGTAACATCCAATGATGTAATCATAGTAATAGAATGCGAGTTTCTTATTAGAATGGCTAGGGGTGTGCGATAGACTTACCTCCACGTAGTGCATCATGGGCAACATATACTTATACGGCAAAAAAGTCTATCAACTGGCAGTTGGCTTCTCACTTCAAACCACTATGGCCCGACTGTATGTCATGTTGTACAACTACCATAGAACTCAACTTATCCTACCCTCTAATGTTGTGCCTGTGTCTTTTTCACATCTGTGAATCACTCTTCTGTTTCCCCTCTCGACATTTCGTGACTTTGCCAGTTCCACCCCTCTGTGAAGCCCGAAATCAGCTAAAGTGATAACGATAACTATCATAAAGCCTGCCATTTGATATGAATACCGTTAACGTATAACTACAATTTTAATTTTTTATTTAATGCTTATCAATAATGGGCGTTAACCACTTCCCTTATGGCTAGTAAAATATCAAAATATTCATATGGTATAGATAAAAAAATATTCTTTTTTTCCTATTTTTTGATACTTTAGAGATCAATTTTACCAGGCGATGCAACAGCTGCAGTAAGTTAACACCGATTTCGCCTAAATTTGTATATAAATTAGGGTGAATTTTACCTCGATCATGTGCTACCATGTTGTGACCTCTGGTTCACCTTGCATTCTTTCTTCTTATCTACCGCTAACAAAGCTTTAAGTAGAACAAGAAACTTTCCCAACCCGTCGCATCACACTTACTCCACACACGCGCACACAAATGTGCCCCAAATGGGTCATCACTTGCAATTGCAAAGGAGAACAAGTGAATATCTTCATCCTGCATTCTTTCCACTTGCCTATAGCAGGTCTTGGGAACTACCCACAAGTACTTTCAACCCAATGCCTGTTTCTCATATGTGTTTCCTTTCGATATCGATAACACATTTTAGAGTTTCAGTTTCTATACTGATCTATTCTTCTTTATCGAGAGGCATGGTTACCTATTTACAGTCATATGCCCGCAGACCATGTAGTTTATAAACTGGCAAATGGAAAAAAAAATACACTAAAATATTAAATGCATCAAATACTTTATTTGCTAATATTAGCCTTATTGTTTCACGTTTTCTCCTCTGTTGAATTCTAAATCCCTTTAAATTAGGTAATTATCCATTCAGATGTAAGCGTACATTACCCTATTTATCCGAGGTTATTGAATATCGTTAAGCACAGTCCTCTTGTGTGGCTATTTCGCGAGTGCGGTTGAGTTCACACTCATCGCTAACATGAATTTTGATTGTCCAACAGGAACAAACGTTGAAGTCTTCTACTGTAATTAGAAAAAGTTCAAAATATTCAAAGTCTGTAGGTCGTGTCCTATTTTCGTTATTTTAGAGCTCAATATCATCAGGCTCTCCAACAGCAACAATATGCACAGTAAGTCAACACCCACTTCACCCATTTAAGAGGACTTGTTGAATCCCCACTCGTCGGCAACATGATTTTTGATTGCCAAACAAAAATGAGTGTTAACGTCCTTCTTTGTGTTGAGTTAAATATCGAAATATTCAGACAATGTAGGTTGTCAATTACTCCTTCAATCTCAGTTTCGATTCTCAAATGGTTAATCATTAAAATATTCCTCTATTTATAATTTTGATATTTTAGAAATAAAAATTTTCAGGCCATGCTGCAGCAACTACATGGTCATTATGCGCAGTAAGTTAATACCCATTTAACCTAAATTTGCTCTCATTTAATTAGCAATGGGAAGTAAACTAGGAAGTTTTACTTGTCATCTTGCTTCATTTCCGTTCGGAGACTCGGAGACGTCTCACAAGTAGGCTGAGGAGGTAGTAAAACAGCAGCCACACAAAATACCCCTGTTACCTATTTCTTCCAAGCACAGTCCCGATAACTTTAACTTTAACCTCTTGTGTGGCTATTTCGCGAGTGCGGTTGAGTTCACACTCATCGCTAACGTGGTTTTTGATTGCCCAACAAGAACGAACGTTGAAGTCTTCTACTCTAATTAGAAAAAGTTCAAAATATTCAAAGTCTGTAGGTCGTGTCCTATTTTCTTTATTTTAGAGTTCAATATCAACAGGCTCTCCAACAGCAACAATATGCACAGTAAGTAATCACCCATTTCACCTAAATTGCTATGTTTATTAAGGTGAATTTTATCAAAAACGTTCTGGTTATTTGCTAAAACTGATGTTGCTTGGGTTTTACTTGTCATCTTACTTCACTTCCATTCGGAGACTCTGAGACGTCCCTCAAGTAGGCTGAGGAGGTAGTAAAACACCAGGCACACAAAATACCCCAAGACAAAAGAATGAACCCTATAAAGACTGGATGACTTGATAACTGAATTCATCTTGCGATATGACATCGGAGGTGGGACACAGAGACCTATCAAATAAATGTCATATGGCGCCATTTATTGTAATTTCTCACAACTAAATTGAATAAATGAAGCAAGTTTTGTTCATATGATGGCACGAGGGACGTGATTCCAGTGAAAGTGCAGAGGGAAAAGGGTGTCTTGAGTTTTACTTCATTTGAAATTACAGCAGCACTGAATTAGCCAAATGTTTTAAAATCCAATTTTACTGATATGTTCTCGGCTGATCTTGGCAAGTTCATGTTGATTGACTGGCTTGACTGAATGATTGGTTGCATAATCTCGATTCGTTTATTCTATATTCTGACAATCATGCAAACAGAATTTCCTTCAAATACGTCTTACTTTAAACTATCTCTTTTTAACTTTATTTGCCTCGTAGACAAACGGTACCTGTTGGATATTACTTGAGGTGAGAAAATGGCCATAGTTTATACTCTTCTCCTTAAAAACGAAATGATTTTTCATTTGTCAGTGATATTCAGAGTAAAACTTCCCATAATACATCAATGCCCCTACGTATTCTAGCTAAACGTTTGCTCTGAAAGCATGGCAATGTGTTTAGAGTGGAGGGAAACATTCCTGATCATTTTAGGCTTGATATATGTATCATGACACTATTATCAAGGACGTTTGCTTCATTATTGAATGCACATTTTAATAAGTGCAATAGCTTTCAGACATCATGTATTTATTCATTTTTGGCACGTTATTCGACCACATCACTTAGGTTTGCCACCTTTTACTACTGAACTACGCTTTTCATCTGAATTCTTTGCTTTTGAATGCAAAATAGCTTCTCGCACTAACGAAGAAAGTAAATTAATCACAATTTTTTAATTAAGTGGACAGCCAATGGCACACTTTGCTCAAGACAGTCAATCGTCTCAAACGTGAGTTTATTGCTCAATTTTCCAAGCAATATGAATCCTTCTCTCCAATCTTTTAAACGCTATGTCTTTGTCTGCACAGAAATCGCTCTCAATATTTGTACCCCCTCATGCACCAGTTTCAATGATTGTCACTTCACTGCAGTCGCACTTGAAATGTTGCCATTGCTCGACATCCGGCATGTTCTTTTTGTAAAGAAGACTTCTAAGACCAGGATGTGACTAAAGCAGAACATGGTTGTGAACATTACGTTTTGCATGGCATAAAGCGTCCATTTGAATTTGCCTAGAGTGTGTGGCTATTAATGGATCGGTGGGGAGGGGGAGGCAGGTGAAGGAGAGATTGCAATATTTAAACCCAAACTTAAACCTAACTCCATTATTCCATGCTTGAGAGTTTGGGGTGGGGGGAGGAGATCATTTCGGTTACAGAGGTTGGGGGAATTAGAAGTTGACATAAGAAATTTCAGTGCAGTGCCGACGTGTAGCGATCGTCGTCCATCACGTCCATTGTCAAGCTGTTGATTTTCAACATACATAGATTGATGTCTACTCCTATAGCTCGAAATTAAATGTAAAGTATTTAATAATTTCAATGCTTAATGAAAGTTACAATAACATTAAAATCAATACATAATTGGGTTGGATTTGAGAAAACTATTATATAGGGAATCAGTAGAATTGCTTATTCTGCAATTAAAATATTTCTGTTAGGTTGACGGAATTTTATACATAAACTTCTGTGTCAAGTTCCACTAAAATTATTTAGTTAGTTATATCACTCTCAACCCCCCCCCCCACTCTCTCCCTCTCTCTCTCTCTCTCTACTAAAACTTCTTTATCCAGCATTTGTACTATTTTGCCTAATATTAGACCCACTCATGCTACTCATCAACCGAATAAAGTAACAGGAGCGTGAGTTTCTTTCGATTTATTTGTCCCTTAAATATCAGTCGATTACTAGATTATCTCTTAATTTCGACCCTTAGAGCGCCATGTCCGGCGAGAGAACAAGCACCTCCCCCAGAGCCGTTAATGTAAGTTTATTTGAATACCCTTTGTTCCTTTGTGGTCTGTTTTATTTCTGTTGCGTGAGTGATGCTGTAAAGGAAGTAGTAATATAATTAAACAAGTTTGGTTTCACCGGACGAAAATTGTATGATGAATGTCAAAGCATACCACCCGTGTTGGCACAGAACGCAAATTATCTTACCTGCAATGTGGAAAGTGCTCTACTGTAGAGACTGTCCTTGCAAAAATCATATTTTTATTGTCTGCTTAAAGGAATGGCGTAAGGAAGAAGACAAGCATCACAGTGATTCAAATGGTTCTTCAAAGGAAAAGAAGTTGGCTTGAGCTTTCACTTCACTCAGTGTTGCCATGATGACAATAGTTCTAGCAGACGAAATTATGCTACCTTAGTGATAAGTGGTAAGAAATTGAGGTCGTAGTTTGATACAGCCTCTAACAGCACTTTCACCCGAAAAAAAGTTATAGAGGATCTTGGTTACCCAGAGCTGTAACCAATTAATCAAATGCTTCCGATGGCGCCTTAAAATTGGTTGTTGAACTTCACTATCAAGTTTTCCATGATTATCAGTAAATTACTCCAACCCCTACTTGTCTCGTTTGCCTCTCTATTGGTTGGACGAATTGAAGCCACTAAATTCAGCTTAGACAAGGCCAGATAAAGAGAATAGATAACCCAAGAATTCCAAAGATCACATTAATAAAGCAGAACATGATTTTATTATTATCTTCTGTTATGACACACAGCTTAGGTTTATGCTCAAAAGTGAAACCAAATTAAAAAGTCGTAGTAAAGGCGAAACCAGTTTTCTATCAGGAACTCCCAGTTTCCTTCTTTTCTATACAGAGTGTAGAGGAAAACTGGTGTTCTAATTCCGGACTATCACTATAACTATCCCAATCATTACTGATTGAAAACGGAGTTCCATCGTTCGTTTATGTACCTACTTTTTCACTAGTTTGAATGCAGCGCCTAAAAATACCCATCACCCAATTTCTGCAGCCAAAGATTTTTCAAAGATCTCAGCATCGGAGCATGTTTTGGAAAATTTGACTTATTAGATGCTTGTTTTCAAGTCGAGGTTAAACCTCCATGCCTTAAATATCTGACCTTTAACACATACCGGAGTCTTTGTCAACTTTCAAGACATCTGACCAGTGCCAAAAGAGTTTTTGGAATATTTCAACACATATTGGGTCATAAGGTTAATAGACAGAGAAACATAGATGCATTTCTGGACGATAGTGTAATAGGTAAGCTAATGAAGAAAGGGCTCGGGAAGTGAATGGTAAGCCTGTTTCAATTCATTTCCAATTGTAGTACCCATTTGAGACGAAAGAAATTTTGCCTTAAGAGCATTAACATTGGTGTTGTCTTCCATTTTATATTAAAAATAATGCTTCCTTTATGAATGTATGATTAGTCCAAGATAAATTTTTAACATTATTCTAAGTAGTCCCGGAGTGCTTTACGGATAAGCCTTGACTTATTCCCAGTAATCTTTGACAAGATTCCCTTGCATGCATAGGCTCCCAGAAAAAAGCAAGCGTATAGTGAATATTGCGTCTATTGAAATTATACCTGATCATAGCACAGATGATTAGTGATCAAATGTATTAACATAACTAGAATAAAATTCAATCACTGATTGGCTGAGAAGACCTCCGAACACACTACCGCACCCTCCAGAATACTTGATTTAGTGTAAGATTGCTCAGTTTCAATCGCGTTAGTATTGGGAACTCCACAAAGTTCTAGTATCTATACTCTGTTGCTATTTTGTGGAGATTTTAGGAATTGTTGGAGGACTTGCCTTCTAATGTATATCAGTATTAATAAATATTGAATATTTTAGACGAATTATATCAATTTTCTTTTCATTTTTTAGGGTAAAAACTCAGTTAGTCCCGCAGACTCCTTCACCACCGAGGTAAGTTTGCTTGAATTGAAGTAAAATATAAGATAAAGTTGTAAATTATTTTATTGCAAACTTTCTGCCGTTACTCGTGTTGTCTTTAACTCAAACTGCTATAAAATTCTTAATATTATTTAGCCTTTGGGCATAGAATTTAGAATATCGATTAAGATGTAGATCAGCTATGAATTTCAGTGAGGCAACTTTAGGGGTCCGAATAAGTTGGACAGGATACCTCCTTCTATAAATAATAATCTTCCTTTGGCTGCTAGGTTGTAGCAGTGAGGCGCTTGGCCGCGTTAGAGCTTTGTATTAATGAACAATTGACAGATGGGATAATGGTGTGAGTCGGAAGGAGTGGAATAGGTGGATTAAGGAGATTCATGAATCGGCGTACGCAGGTAATGTTGACCTCCATTGCTGCTAAATCGACTGATCAAAAATGCCACTGAATTAACTCACTGGATAGATTTTCTTCTACTTCAGCTATCAATTCACGGAAATGTGTCTTCATCAATTTATTTGATTATTCTTCAAAGCACGTATTTTAAAGAAGTGCACCTTTTTCCCATCTAAGGCACGAAATTATATTCATTTCCATGACGATTAGGTGTAACTTCTCGTGGTTAGTGGGTATTTGGGGATAGGCATTTTCGATGAAAGTCTGTATTGCAAATAGACTCGAAACGAAAGCGTCTCACTCATTTTCTTTGCTTTCTTCATATTTTAGAAGCACAATTTCCTCTTCTTCTTTTCAAATTGACCACGATCGATGCTGTATATTTACAATACAGAACGAGGATCTTGAGGGCCTTCATTACAGGCTTTTTTTCGACTACTTTAAGGATTATGGTTTTGTGGAGTGTGTGGTTTGTTTAGAGAAAGGAGCCGATGGATTTGTTCAATTTTATCATCCGCAACAAGCCAGAAAGGCTCTCAAGCACCCCCAGCACAAATTCGGTGAAACCTCTCTGAACCTCTATCCTTCAGACCCGAAGTTCTTTAAAGAGTATGTACTTTTCGTTGACCTATCTAACTACCTTTGCCCAAAAATTGGTGCGTTTTCACGGAAATGGTGTATAACAGCTCATAGACATGCATTCGCTCTAGCTAAATACAAACTATTTTATAAAGTAATTATTCATCATATTTTGAAGCATATTTGAAGCCACAAGGGTACTACTTATTTGTGACCTCTCATTCAACAACTGACTGCTTGTAATTGGTTGTCTAAAAATTTATTTCCTGTTGAATGGAAATATCCACTATATCAATTTTCCCTTTTTAAACTCCTGCCGAATACACGCTTTCAGTTTCTCTCCTGTTCTCTTACTCAGTATCTTATTTGCAACTCCTAGATAAGAATATGGGGAGCTATAAAAATTGGTCTTGTATTTAGCTTGGAAGGTAACTCAGACAGAACCGAGAGTGAATTTTCAATGAGAAATAGTAAGGGGGACCGACAGAGAAGAAATGAGTTTGCGTTATTGCAAATATTGGCCAATAAATTCAGATTGAGAGTAAGCGATCAAAATGACCTCGATCATCTAATCTGGCAAGGCGGGGGGGGGGGGGGGGGGGGGGGANCGTGGGGGGGGGGGGGGGGGGGGGGGGAGGGGGGTATGAATGCATCTACCGATCTTGTCTGATTTGGTTTCCATTGGTCCATCTTATCTATGGCTGATGTTGGTTCAGAGTAGTCGTGAGCCTTATTTTTATTTCTCAGTAGGGGGGTACGCATTGTACATCCTGGACATCTTAGACCTATCTCTATTTTTAATTTCATTCAGCTCTTCTGGCGAGCTTCTCGGTGGCAATCCCTTTGACCAAAGTAATAATCACCAAAAGGCAGGCAAGAGGCAATTGTGGTTTGAAGAGGAAGAAGTGGAGGAAAGAGGGCCATCTGTGGATGATCTGTTGAGGTATTTTTATTCCTTTGGATATGTAACGGATTTGTGTCGAAGACCACAAAATCAAAAAGGTTATGTGATCTACGGAAAAGAAGAGTCTCTTCAGAGCGCTATGAAAATCCCATCTTTTAAATTGAGAAATCGAATTTTCCGTGTGTATCGAGCAATTTAGCTACTCGTGAGTTATGCATAAATTCCAATAAATCTTTCATCCCTTCTTTGCCTGCTTGCAAGAGCAAAAGACGAAATGAAGTTCATATCCTATTTAACCTGAATCGCAGCAGTTGTACTTGCTTCGCTATATATTTAACTTGTCTTTGCTCGCTTAATGTAATTGGATGTGAATAAACTTTGCAAATAATTATTAAACAATATCATAAGACCTTTTTTCATTTCATTCGAGTTTTGGTAATGGAAAAAATTGATTGAATTAAAGATGAATTTGAGTTTTCGTCGAGAAATAGGAAATCCTGTCAAATAATAGTAAACATCCACTTTTCTGCAATACCACCAAAAGGTATTGTATAATCTGACGGAGATACTCTATTTAGAATTGAATTGTCATAATGGCTAACACAAGGGAAAAACCAGTAGAACAAGAGGTGGAATGAAGCGAGGAGGGTGGGATTAAGTGGCAACATGGAAAGAGAAGAACTCTGGGTAATCTTAGAGAGACTGGGAAAATCTTTAAATCCAAATGTGCAGAAACCGCACTTTTCTCACACATGCACCATTTCGGTTTATTTATAACATGTCTCGAAATTTTTTATCTCCCACTCAAATTCTGTATTATTCCTATATATTAGTATGCTCATACGGCAAAAAGATCTATTTTTCAGCAGTTGAATTCCGACTTCAAACTACCATCATCTCACTGTATGCCATATTCGACTGTTCACAGTACTCACCTCACCTTTTTCCTACCTTTGTGTCTATCTGCCTCTTTTACATCTTTGAAACACTCTTCTGTCCCCCCCCCCTCTCGATTTTTTCTTCAATTTGATGTTCCTTCCCCTCTGTGAAGCCTGAAGTCAACTTAAGTGTTAATAGTAGCTATTATAACGCCTGGCATTTGATATAAATAAATAATTATAGATTGAAAGTCTTCTAACTTGATTAGTAGTCTCCTTCCTACTTTTCCGACGACTAGAGCAGATCCTATTTGTATGATAAGGTAGGACTAATTTTGTCATTAGAGCTAATTAGGCTGACTTTTCCCTCACTGGACTAAGAAGCTTTCTTCCTACTAGCGAAGAACAGCAATCTATCCAAATACACAGACCATGAACGTTTTGGATACAATCGAGATAAGTGCGACAATTTCTCTTTCTAACTCCGTAGGGTCATCTTCGTAAGTCAGATTCAAGCTTCAACAAAGGGATTGGAAGGAAAGTTTCACGTAAATAAATATGTTGCTAATTTTTTAAAATCTCCAGGAGAGCGTATTACGAATTCTCTTTTTTGCCTATTCTTTCGTTATCTTTAACTTTATCTTGCTGACATATGATATTAGCTCCATAACAGTGTCCTTCATTTCGACACTCGGGGACTATGTACGGCATGACTCTTCCTGGGCATCAATCCCTTTTTCTGAAAGGCATAGCGAACGCGAGTTGGCTTTACTTGAAGCGTCGTAACTAAATACAAACCATAATTCGTGTGTTCAATTATTTCTTTGAACTATTGCATTGACTTCTAAGAAATAAGAATATGCATTCGGTTTCTATTATAATTATGAACTTTTATTCAATTACATCGAAAATTTCAAAACGTACTTTTTAAATTGTTTCTTTCCCATAAAACATAAATTTCTTTCAATTGAGCCGATGAACTAATTACCGCGGAAACCGTTATTCACTCAGGTTCCCGTGAATGCAAAAAAATAAGCATTTAGGCTTTAATGTTTACTCTAAATGACTGTCAGTTAATTATTCTTTTATCAAGTTATGTATAAACCACTTCATCAACTTAATTCAGCCAATCGTAATTAGAATCAAGCATGGTTTCATTTGAGCCTCCAAATACAATGGAGTTGAGCTATTTACACTGAGCTGAGTTGACATTCCAGTCAGCCCGTTCGGAAGTGTTTTCTGCTCAAAAAAAGTGTGTTAATGGGAATTCGTATCTCCAGANCTGCTCTAAACCAGTTTTTTGTTATTACTAACTGAACAACATTCTCTTCAATTTTTTGGTTAACAGAAATTCGAACAACTAGTAGTGGGTGGGAAGATATCATCATTTGATTGTTAGATTAAATCTGCAAAATGGATAGTTCCTGTCCACAATTCAGAATGCGTTATCCGACTACTAGATTGGTGTCCAGTACTTATTGATTGATCGTTTATCATTATAGTCAGCCTCATCACTCCAATTCAATTTTTCTATGGCTGTGCAAGTTGAATGATCAAATGTGATCATCTGAAGTGTAGTCTAACCTGCCAGAGATTATTATTACTTCAAATGACAGGTTTATGAAATTTGTCATTAGCCCCTTAGTTTACTTTGGCTTTCACGAGGGGGAGGGGGAGGAACATAAATAGCAGTTCATTAGTTGTATTCCGGCTTCTCAGTATCCCTGGGTTTCCGTCACTGTTTTTAGGGCTGAACACCGAATCTGGTGGGTCTTCTCCATTTCCTCCTGTAGATCACATAGGCAGTATGTGGGTTGAGTGTATACTCCTAATCTGTGAAGGTGCTTTGCCAGGCATTCGTGTCCGGTATTTAGTCTAAACTCAGCAACGGCTTCCATTCTTTGCCAGTCGGTTATGTCGAAAAGGGCTACTGTCCACTGTTTCTCCTTTGTTCGAGCTTTAAGTTCGTTGCACCTTGAGGTCTTGAATTCTCTCCTGATTAAGGTCTTCATTGTGTGGAAAGACATCGGTCGGTCTTTGTCTTGCAAAATTGTTGCCCCCTTGTAAGCAAGTGCGTCAGCAAGCTCACTACCTTTAATGTTACAGTGACCAGTAATCCATTGTAAAAACACAGTTTTATTTTTTTCCTCTAAGGAGCTGATAGAGTTTTTTACATTCATGTATCTCAGCTGTTTTGAGTGGCTCTCTGTTTCCAATTGAGTTTATTGCTGACTGTAAGTCCGAAAGAATTACTGCTTTGGTGAATTTCGTATCCAGGCAACATTGTTGGAATAGTGCTATCCTAATGCCCACCATTTCTCCTTCAAAAGCGGATCTTTTGTGACTTGTTGATGTGTAGAAAGAGAAGAGTTCAGAATAGACATCTGCACCAACGTTTGCTTGGTTTTCTATGTATGACCATCAGTGAAGACTTGGAGCCATTGATCTGCAGGATAGTTGACATTGATTGTCCCGAGAGCCAGTGAGTGCATTTGTTCTGGAGGAGTGTTTGCTTTCCTGAAGTGGACAAGAAATTGGGTGCACCATTCTACATCAGTGTCTGCTAATGGGTTTTGGAGTAGAGAGAGGCTTTTCGTATTCATCAATTCTTACTGCTTTATTCGGTTCTATGACTTTCTGCATTAGACCAGATTGCGTTTTCAGATGTCTTGATCTATTCTCATAGGTGTTGAGGAATTTGTCCATAGGAATGCGCAGTAGCTTCTCATACAGGTTAAAGGCCTTCTCTTCGATAAGGGAACATATTACGGTGTTCTCTGAAACCAGGAGCATTGCATCAATTGGTGTTGATTTTACCTCTACAGTAATTAGACGTAATGCCTGGTTGTGTGCCTTCTCGAGGGGTTTGAGAGTCACCTCTGTGGCTGTAATGAGTGGCTCACAGCAATACAACATTATTGGCTGAATAAACATCTTGTAAGTGGTGTTGAGAGTTGAGCGTGTACAGCCCCATACGCTACCAGCTACTTTAGCAATGTGACTTTTCCACGTTAGCTTTGTGTCAAACGTCACTCCGAGATAAGTGAACTCGTTGGTTTTTACTAGGGAAGTATCCTTGGACCTTAAAAGTAGGCTTATGTTGTGACGGACCAATGAAAATGTTTGGAATGCAGTTTTCGTGGTGTTGATAACCATTCCATTGTTGTCGCACTAGTTTACTAGTAGTTGAAGTGCACCATTTAGGGCACTTTCCGTAATCTTTTGAGCGTTTTTCTTAGGGGCGGAATACCATAGCTTTTTTGTAAGTGCACAATTTAGGACACTTTCTGTCCTCTCCTTAGCTTTTTTCCTTAGGGGCGGAATACCATAGAACAAGATCATCTGCATAAAGTTTTCACGTAATACCCTAGAACAAGATCATCTGCATAAAGTAAGCACTCCACGCCCGTGACTGTCTGTACCAATTCGGCTATGTCAATGATGAGCCGTGACTGTCTGCATCGATGAAGACATTGAAAAGAGTGCAGCTTGTGACAGCTCCCTGTCAACATTGAAAAGAGTGCAGCTTGTGACAGCTCCCCGTGGAAAGCCTGTTTGTAAAAGATAGGATGTTGATTGAGCATTTCCATATCTCACTTTAAATGATCGCATTTTGATAGAGCATTAAGATATCTGACTTTACATGATCTTTGTACAATGTTTTATCCAAGCTTAGCATCTTATGCTTAATACCAATCTTTGCCAATTTTAGAATTAGCTTCTCTATCGGTCATATGCTGATTTGAAGTCGACGAAAACAGCCGTAAGATTTATCCAATTTAGCATGTTATGCTTAATTCCAATCTTTGCCAATTTTCAAAGTAGCTTCTCTTTCCATACTAAGTCATATGCTGATTTGAAGCGAAAACAGCCGTAAGGGTATTTCTTGCATCAAGGGCATCTCGTTGGGAGAAAGTGGCTACTTGTTGATTCGCAGAAAGTAACTACTTGTTGGTTCGTTGATCTTTGTGGCCTTAAACCTGCTTGTTCACTCCTAAGAATACTGTTGGTCTCAAGAAACCAGGTCAGCCTCCTGTAAACCAGTCTTTTCATAGGTTCACTCCTAAGAATATTGCTGGTCTCAAGGAACCAGGTGACCAGGTCTGCCTCCTGTAAACCATTCTTTCCATAAGTTTAGCCAGCACACTTGTGAGGAATAGGCCTATAGTTGTCAAAGTTGCTAGGGTCTTTGCCCTATTTTAGTATTGATATTACTATGGTAACTTTCCATTGGTTAGGTACGAGGTTGGTCTCCCAGATTTTGTTGAAAAGCGTCATTATGGTTTCCTTGGTTTTGATCCCATTCTCATTAGAAATTCCGCATGAATTCCGTCTTCGCCAGGAGACTTTTTGCACTTTAGCTCGTTTATCACAGCATAAAGTTCTCAATGTCTGAATGTTTCAGTACGTACATTATTTTGTATCGTTGTGTCATCCTTAATTTCACCAAACCGTCTTACTTGTATCTTTATATCTCTTAAAGATTTTCTGACAAAAGGGTTTTTTTGCTTGTGGGAATAAAACCTTGCAAAGTAGTTAGCGATTTCGGAGTAGGTGGTGAGCAGTTTGTTGTTTAAGCGCATTGGGTCTTTCTTGGGTCTTCCCCTGTTGTTTTGGAGGTTACCCAGGAATTTGAAATTGCTTTGGCTATCACTTTGATAGTTGATATTTGAGATGAACTTTTTGGCTATCACTTTGATAGTTGATATTTGAGATGAACTTGTGGAAGGAAGTCCGTTTAGCTTGTAAGATGGCTTGCCCTGTCGAAGGAAGTGCGTTTAGCTTGTAAGATGCCTTGCCTAAGGACTGCTGTCTCCAGGCTTGTACGTCTTCCGTTCTTCCAGTCTGATCAGACCAGGCTTGTACGTCTTCCGTTCTTCCAGTCTGATCAGCATTGTTACGAAGGGCGTCCCGTTTTCTCTTCCGTTCCTCAAGGTGTTTAGACCAAAACAATCAATAGTGTTTAGTCTTGCCTCGGGGAATAGTTTTCTTTGCACATCTGGTCATAATATTCGTGATACCAGTGCAAAGTTTGTCAGGGTGTTGGTTGAAGTTGAGGGAACTTGCGTGAAGTTCATTCTCTAAAAGATGGGTAAATCTAGGCCAATCGGCCCTCTTGAATTTCCATGATAGCTTAGTTGGCACTTTCGTTTTTATGCTTTTGCTGCCGATGGTAATACTATCAATGACTGGTTTGTGACCAGGATCGTCAAGCATTATGCTCGTTGATGTCGCTTGAAGCCAGGAGCAAGTCTGGAGTTGTTCTGGTTCCATTGTAGGGCAGATATGTAGCAGGATCCTCAATGCTATAAATAAGTTCTAAAGAGTTGCTGTTAAGCATGTCTTAGATTTCCTTTTAAACTATGTTTATGTTCTTATAGCCCCATCTGGTCTCCTAATACTACAGTTTTGTGTGAGACGTTCAGAAGATCAAAGTTGGGTCTATTCTGGGGTGGATAATAGATTACGTATATCTTGAAGTGGTTTTGGCATTTCCAAACTTTTAATCTGTTTATTTCGCATATATCTTGCTTCGAGCGCATGCATGAGTAAATCAGTGGCACTACTGATAATCCTCAAATTCATTTCAATTCGATTCAAATACTCACCCCGGCCGATGATTTGGAAAGTATTACAGCTTGTCATATATAATGTCTGCAGCTGATAAACTATTTTGACAAAGCTCTAAGTATAGTCTGCTTTTCCTTGGTTTCCCAGATATTTCGTATAGTTTCCACAACCTCGGTTATATATTAACTACGAAGAATTTAGAATTTGTGCATTTATTTATTTCAAATGGCAGGCGTTTTGATAGTTATCATTAGCCCTTTAGCTGGCTTCGGACTTCACAGAGAGGAGAAAAATCAAAATAAGAAAAATTCAAGAGAGGGAATGGAAAAATTATTTACAGTTGTAAAAGAGACAGACATTTATTTATTTATATCAAGTGGCAGGCATTTTGATAGTTTCATTAGCTTTTTAGGTGACTTTGGGCCTCACAGGGGAGAAGAAATATCAAAGTAAAAAAATTCAAGAGGAGGGGGGGGAACAGAAGAGTGTTTTAAAGATGTAAAAGAGAGACGCAAGGGTAGAAAAAGGTGAGGTGAGTACTGTGTAAGTAGTCGAATATGACATGCAGTGGAGTGATGGTAGTTAGAAGTCAGAAGTCAACTGCCGGTTAATAGACTTTTTTGCCGTATGAGTATACGTTGCCCAGGGTGCACCACGTGGAGGTAAGTCTATCGCACTCCCTTCCTTTGTGCATAGATTTGGACATCTTACTTATGTTCTGTTCTATTCGTAAAAATTATGTTTCCGTCACGGGGTGTGCGATAGACTTACCTCCACGTGGTGCACCCTGGGCAACGTATACTCATACGGCAAAAAGTCTATTAACCGGCAGTTGACTTCTGACTTCAAACTACCACGACCCCCCTGGTTGTCATATTCGACCCCTTTCACAGTACTCGCCTTACCTTTTTCTCTACCTTTGTGTCTGTCTGCCTCCCCTA